TTATTTAGGGATAGTATTAAGGAATTCGTTGTCCCTTTGACTCATATCAGATCCATGAATTAAAAAAAGAAAAAAAAAGACTACTGTTGGATTCAATCCTGACCGTCCAAAGTTTGATTTCAGCCTGATCTTCGTGATTCTTGTCTGGATGACGTGGCACCGTTGACCAGGATCCATGACCCGGGGTGAATCGGGTGATTGGACTACTTTTGGGTTTGGGCCGATCCAGGTCAAAGTCAAACACTCCTTGTTCCATCTTGGGATATACGGCCCATGATTTATTTTGTTATGACGATTGTACCCTCCATTGCCAGCACTCATATTCGTTTTGCGTATTCTTAAATGACGAAGGTGCCCCTGGTATTTATTCCTAATTTGCATTCATACCCAATCACAGATTCACAACTAGTATATGCTACTCTTTCAAGAAAAAAAAAAATCTATATACGCTACAATTTTTAAATGCAAATTTTATTTATAGCTCTATATGTTTTTTTATGATAAACTTTTCATATTAAATGTATTTATTAATTTAATAATATGTGTTAATTTAAAGACAACTTGTATTAAAATCAATATCCAAGCATCTTTAATACCCTAATAAATGAAAATCTCCGTCTTTTTAGGACCACTCACTTTATAAAGGAAAATAATAATCTTTAGAATATTATTTTATAATTAATAATATGTGCCTTAAGTTATAAGTTAATGGTGTAATTAATGTTTATTTATAATTAATTTGTATAAAAAGTATACATATTACTAACTTTTGTTTAATCAATTAACTAATTAAAATCATTTACATGTCAATAATGTTAAAATAAATGTAAACTTTCACAAATTTTTATAAAAATTAATTTGTTTGCATTTTACAAAATTTACAAATAAAATTGATAATTCAATATTTCTCACCTTTCAATATCTCTCAAATTTAAAATATATTATTGAACTCTTTTACAAAGTACATGTAATAAGACCAATATCTGAGTACCTTTAATAAACTAATAATGAAAATCTTCATCCTTTTAAAACAACTTGCTTTATAAAGGAAAATGATACTTTTTAGAGTATTACTTTTTCACCCTTACAAAATGTAATAAAATTGATATCTCAATATTTCTAATATTTTATAGTATGGTTGGGTTAAGAGGAATAGAGGGAAAGGGAGAGAAATAAAAGATTTTTTTAACTAATCAAATTCTAATTTTTTTTAACAAAATATAAAACAATTAATGTCTAAATATATCTTATTTTAGGTTCCTTTAATATAGGTAAAATACATCATATTGAAATTTTTTGCAAAGTATGATAACTTTGATTATGAAAAACTTTGAATTTTTTTTTTCCTCTAAAAACCAAAAAGAGATAATCAAGAATATCCAATTTTGATAAGATTTTTGGCAATACACACACTTTGATAAATGGCTAAGGGCTTAAATGTCATATCACCGTTCATATGTAAAATAAAGCCTCCTCCCAATATGGGCCTCAGCGCAGGGAAGTTGCTTTGACCGGACAAAAGGAAAAGGACAAAAGCACCCCTAAAATGACAACCCTGCAATCTATTTTCCCTACCTCGGTTTCCCACATTTGACCCTACCACTTTCCTTATAAAAGGGCCAATCTCCAAGGACACCCCTGCCATTTCGAAAAAACACCAGCCCCAAAACCGGTAAACCACCCGTGGACCCCACGCGCCACATGGCAACCCTTGGGGACCCAACTTTTCCTAAATGGCACTGACGTGGACCCCATATCCATAACAGCTCATCTGTCGCGACGCCAAGTGTAACCGTCAAACGATGGCCAACAACTACACCCAACAATTTCCACCAATAAAAAAAAAAAACTACACCCAACAATTGCTACAATTTTTTTTTTTAAATTATAACTTGTGATTTGAAGGTAAAATTATTGTATTTTTTATATTATTATAATTAATATTAAAAAATAAATCATTATTTAATTAAAATTATTTATGTAAAAAAGTTACTTGTCAAGTTTCAATTTTTAAAAGTAATTGAAATTTTAATTTTAAATTATATCATTTTATTTAATTAAAATT